GGGCGCGGAGAAACTGCTGCTGTCACCCGGACGCCGTGCACCTCGGAGGTGATTTCGGGGCCAGAGGGACTGCGGCTCCTACGCTCCCCAAATGTCTTTCCGGCCGCTTTCCTTCTGTCCTCCGCCAGGACGACCATGGCGTCCTGTCCGCGAGTCCCCGGACCTTTCTTAGTTCTTTACCAGTGGTTTTATACCGCGTTGGCTCCTCCGTTTACTGTCCTTGTGGCTGGCCTAACTTAGACCCCACAGTCTCTCTTTGTTTTATTTTTTCGTGTATCTAGCCGTCGTTCAGGGACAAGTGGGAAAGATAAGGGCAGAGATTGACAGTGGTCCGGGACGGGAGTTAATCCAAGAAGAGTGGTTCCAGTGAGATTAGAACCCGATAAACAGAGCATAGGAAGACGGTGTTGAATTTGGGCAGGGAATGCTAAAGGCCAAGCCAGACATTTTCATCTCGATCTTTTGACCTGCCTGTCCTGTTCATCTGGAAATCTGGCTGCTCCGAGGAGAAGAAATGTTAGGCCAGGGCGAGAAATAGGGAAAAGAGGTTCTCTCCTCTTGCCTAATTGCCCTCTCCTGATTTTATTTTGGAAATAAATGTGCCTTTTAGGGGAATAGAATGGGAACTTGTTACTGGTAGAAAGGAAAGAGAAAAAATATTGCCTGCCCTAGGAGTAGTTAACTTGAGTTTCTATACACCCCCACTCGGCTATACTGCGGTGTCCTTGGACAGTGATTACAACTGTGAGGCTGTGATTCCTCCTGGTAACTGCAGGAAGTTACTGTATGCCTCTTTCTTGGTAGTTTTGCTGCATTTTAAATACAAAAAAAGATTTAAAATTTAATCAAGTAATTTTGGTATATAGTTCATGCACTTTCTGTGGTACTGAGAATGTAACTAATGCCTGAAGGGTTTGTACAATTTTCTTTTTAATCTAAAATGCATGGGTAGGAATGTGTAGCATTTGTTTTCCTTTTTCAAGTATTCTACTGCCCATTTTAGCTAATAGAAACCAGCATTGTTTGATTAGTTGAGCTGTATAATCCCAACACAAATATTTTGCCTCAAAGGAAATATTAGTGTGAGTCAGTATAGTTTAAGGTGTCTTAGGGTGTATGTAATGGGTTAATTTTAAAGTTCAGGTTGTATATTAAATACTGCTGTATTTCAGTGGCATATAGAACTAAACTTTCTTCGAAGCAGTTTATCTTATTCCATAGTGTCAAACTAGTCTTTAAAGAATGAGTCCATTTTATGATGTATGTACAGCCGAATTTAAGTTTTTTTTCCTATAAACTATCTTTTTCAGATAGAAATTGTATTGTTTATATCAGTATGGTTGTTTCCTGGAGAAAGCTGTAGTTTGCTGAGGGAAAGAGTCTGTCAAAGCCTCCTGTAGGACCCAAAAATTGAGTAAGAAACTATCTCAGTAATACATATTTCCTATATTTACAATATTTGCTGCCTATTAAAAGTTTTACCAAGTTACTATGAATTCATGTATTAGAAATAACTATTATGAGGGCTAATGGTTTTAAAGCATGTATCTAGTTCTAGTTCTTTATAAACATAACCATGGCATCGGATTTTGAGAAAATTTGAACTGTGATTTACACTAAGATCTGCTTCATTTAGGAAGCTTTTCTATTTTTGAAGTTCTCTTGGCATTTTGAGTCTGCTTTTACTTGAGATAGTTAAGTGTGCTTGTGTCTTGTTCTCTGATTAACTCTTTCCTCAGATTCTTATTTTCATCCTTAGTGATAACCATTCGTTAAAAATTCACAGTTATTTTCTTATTTTAAACTTGGTGATGAAGTTACTCTAAGTGGATGGATAAAGTGTAGGATGTTTGTTTTTAGTGTGTGAGATACGTGTATCAACCTTGTAGACTATGTATGACATTTGTAAACTGTATGTATTTTTAATTTAAACACAGTTCCCAGTAGTAGTATTATTGCTAATTTCATAGCTAATTTCCATAGTATAGAATATAAATTTTGTAGTGTTTACTACAATTCAGTCATATTGGCATGTTATTTTTCTTAATTTGATTAGGAAGTAAAATATGACTTTTTAAAATAAGAGATTTTTATGTAGCCATTTTCCTTATAAAACCGTTCTATCTGATTAAAAGTAAGTAATTCCAAGTGTAGGCAGTATAATTGAGGATTCCTGATGGTATAAAACTAAAATGAAAAGAATCATAAAATTCTTTGCTCACATACACAGATTTTTATACAGTATATCAAATCAGTTTGTCAAGCTATACACATTTCATTGTATTACATACAATTTTAGTATGTAAAAATTTCTGTAAGAGTAGTTGTTTATGATAGTATTAGGGTATTGATAGCAAAGTCAAAAGCTTAAAAGTGGCTACTTAACATTTTTTTTACTTCTTGTAGTTTTAAAGCATGTCTTATGGGCACCAATGTGTGTTTTACAGTTTAAAGAGGAACTCACATTTTATTTCCAGGAGAGGGAGCTACTTGTCGAATTTTGGGACAGTTTTTGACAAACTAGAGTCTCATCTTCTGTAGTCCAAAAACTGTCATCTTCTGTTGTCCAAAAACTGACTACTTTGGGGAAAAAAAAGTCTTTAGAACTTCATCAAATTATTTAAGAAACGTTCTGTACACTAAACATGCTTCCAGGATAAGCACTTAAAAATTTATTGATAAGGTAGGTACGAAAGAAAGACCTGAAAAATACTTAGAATCTGTTTAGCCTATTGGTTTCTTCTGATTTGGAGAAAAAAATTAAATAAAAAATTGAATTCTCTATTGGGTCTTGGAAAGAGATATGATTGTAAGGTATGTGCATGCATACCTGTCTATATAGATTTAAAATACAAATTCCCCAATATGAAGCAGCTTGGGAGTACATCTTTTTTATTGTTGGATGATTTTACAAGTTTACAGCCGCTAATATAGCTCTTAGGAATGTTGTTCTACCACAGAATTACTTTCTGAGAAAATTTTATAGACAGTATGCAAACAAGATAGTGAGTAGTACCATTATCTTCTACTGTGGTATCTTCTTTTCCTCTGCACATTTTATTTCACCAAGAGATATATTTTAATACTTAGTATGTCATAATATGGAAAAGGAAAGTTGGAGAAGGGGAGCTTTATTGATTTTTGTGTTATGTAATAACAATCTTGGAATATTCACAAGTTGAGTTGTTACGGCAGTTGGCAAGACAACATGTTATTTTACTGGTAAAT